TTATACTCCCAGCTCTTCATATCTACACAGAACTGATGTTTTGACATTTTGTACATGAGACATTTAGCTATAAGGTCCCTCATAAGCAGTTTTGTATTTTTTCTGTCATCCAACATAAAGTTTAAGACCCTATTCCAAAATGAACAGTAAAGAAAAGAACACATCAAGGTTTTCTCTGGCTTCAGGTTTGTGAATCTTTTGCCTATGCAGGCAAACCTTTTTGATCTCACACACACACACACACACACACACACACATACACACACATTTTCAAAGCCGCTTATCCTTCTCGGTCGTGGGGGGAGCTGAAGCCTATCCCAGTGGTCATTGGGTAGAAGGCAGGGAACACCTGGGACAGGTTGCCAGTCCATCGCAGGGCAGACAGACATACACATTCACCTTTTTGATCAGAAAACTAAAAACTACACTAGTAAGTTAACCAGGTAGCTAATTACCATGCTAAGTTAGCTCATTGGCTAATAAGCTGGTTAACATTCTGATGGCAGCTAGTGCAGCAACTAAATAACAATTGATAAACATCAATTAAACTTTTTTCTTTGCTTTTGAGCTTTTGAAAACAATGTACATAGTACAGACTACACAATGTAAGCTCAAATGCCAAGAAAAGGTTTAAGCTGTTATCAAGTGTTAGTTAGCTGCTGCACTTGCTAGCAAATGCATAAGCCTAAACTTTTTGTGGAACCAAGCAAAAGTGGTTCTTTTATGACCCTTTTTGGTCCCATTTGACAGCTTTTTAAGAGGATAAAAAAGAATAATGGAAATGGTAGCACATATGTTGAAGGATGTTACTTCATTGTATTAGTTTTTTAAAAATATGCATATAATATCCAACACATTTATAAAAACATGCATGTAATATCCACCACCACATCACATCAACCCTGAAAATATAACACTGTGCAGATGTGCATACAGCATTCTGTATACAGTGGAATTCACTACTTGATGCACGACTGATACCCTCCATAAGAAACATGCTAAGTGTTTGAATTCTTATCAAATATTTAATCATTTTTATTTTTTTTCATAATAATAAAAAAAATGAATTCTCACAAGCTCCTTGCGATTAGGCCAACTGATATGTCATTCAACACAATGCTGCTTACCTCCTTTCTCAGTTGGGAGTAGTGCTGGTTTATGGTTGGGGTACAGGGATCTGTTAGGCCTGGTACCAGGTAGGGGCAGGGACAATTCATTTAGTATGAACTGCTGGCTAAAGTTTGCCTGCAATGATTAAATGTAGGATATAGATGATCAAAATGTAAACAGTCAGATTTTTCTGTGAAGATAGTAAGTAACTGATGTTAGGAGAGCAGAAGTGGCCTATTTCACTATGGACTAAGCTAACAGATTAATGTCCACCACTCACTGACTACCCCCACCTTTCTTTGTAAAAAAAACTGGGTGAAATACTGTCAGCCTTTCTTTTCTCTCTCCAGTCTTTTTTTTCTGTCTTTTCGTTTTCAGAAGCCAAAGTTTTCTTTAGGAAGCGGAAATATGATGCTCAACCAGCACTCCTCACTTGGAATTCAATCCACCGTACCATTACATGTAAATTGGCAATACAGAGGCTCTCTGGATGTTTAAAATATTCTATTAATGATGATACAATTATTCTATAAATGATGATAGGTTAGTAATGTAATATTAAAAAAATGCCTAAGGTTCTAATAAATTTTTAGGGCCCTTATCAGTCACAGGACCTCAGAATCATCCTACCTTTCCCCCACCCCATACTGTGCCTCTGATTGCTGGCTAACTCCCACTGAGGTAACTAGCATAATTGCGTAGCATCAAAAAAGTATAAGCATCTCATTATAGTAATTGTTAAGTTAATATAGTCACTTCACCAACTCAGCATCTCTTTCCTTTACATTTCTTCATTAACTATGAACTGTTAGCTTTGTGAAAACAAAGTTTGTTGTCAGTTAAAATTACTGGGGTCATCAGCACATATATAAGTCACCGGGGGGTCCTGAGTCTGTACTTTTTAAAAATATATTCAATATTTTGCATCAAGAAATTTAGTTTTTTTTTGTTTTCTAACATGCAAAAGAATATGACTGATGTAAGTAGGGTAAAGTAAGGTGTGACTTAGGTCCTGACAGTGATACAGTGGTATCTAGCTTGCCTGCTACCATCGTTATATCAGGATTATGCAGAAGATAAAATTTTATGCAAAATAGTGTCTTTATGTGACACAGAATTTTTTTTCAATCACTAGTACTTCAGAAACATTGTATTTTACCTCTTCTGACATGATTTGTGACTTTCATGTTACATTTTCAGTGTGAAATCAGATTTGTGTGACCCAGTGTACATCTAATCCACATCAAGGCATAGCTGATATGCTATTTCTGAAAATCACACCCATGCAGTTCTGCATGATACACTCCTGTCCATGTCTAAGTCAGGATGAGAATGGATTTTTTGGTGATTTGGGTTTTGAATGTAGGCCACCCACAAGCCACTGCGATGATTCTATGCTTTGTGTCTTTCGCTCTAAAGAAAAATATCCCTCACGAGAGCATAACGTAGACCTCGTGCACAACCACTGCTGAACTATCAGTTAAGGGTTTTTACAAGTCTCCATAAGACTATTAACTCCGGCTAATATACATCATTGACTGAAATAAAAAGAGATTTGGGTTCATTGTTTAAAAGAGCAGCACCTCTCAAGAAAAATAAGCCATAGAAAAATAAGCTTGAAATTCATATTAATGTCACAGTCAAACAGTTATTTTTCAAAGGAAACCCTTTTCAATGAATGTGAGTCAATGAGGAAACGTTTACTGGTTACACTGTAAAAGATGAGCAAATATATGCAGCATGTTTAGTTTAAAACCAGCTGTTTGAGTTGGGGGGCGAGTGCCCGTGAGACAAAGGCCACTTGAACCAAAGGCTGAAAACACAAACATCCAGATTACCAGAGGAAAAGAACACAAATTAAATCAAGCCCACATAATGTAACAGTTTGAACCTTATAACCCTGCATCAGTTCTCTGGTGTCAAACACGCATTATCCAAAGATAAAAGAATGTACATGTTATGTGAGAGCGCACACTCAATGGCAGCTACAATTCCAGGACATGCTCTCCAGAAATGCCCTGCATAGATAGCATGAATGATATGCAGGCAGTTTCATATACTTAGTTCCATTAACTGGTTAATCAAATGGTATATAAATAGCCTTTTAGTACTGTATGTAATACTGTGAAATGGAATATGGGCCATAGGGTCACAGCAAGGTCACAGCAGGGAATCATGATGAAATGCCAACACATGCTAGCAAGCTAAGACTGTTCAGATAAATAAGGTGATGAAACGGTGATGTATGTCAAAGCTAAAAATGGGCAATGTGGTGACAATATAATATCGATACGTGATACCTATCATTTCTTTTTTCCAAGGTTTGGTCAGCTTGAACAGCTTATGCATACTACATTGTTAGAAATGTGTATGCAATAGTAAATCCACTTACCTGGAGTAGTCCTTAAGGCCAACACAAAAAAAGTGGCTATTTCTGCTGTTTCATATTCACTCTTCATTAATAACACAATATCTCAATGCTGCTTTTTAATATGTAGAGAATGTCATCTAACAGATTGGATTTTTATTCAGGTTGTGTCATAAAATGCCATTTTGAGCTAGCAAACGCATAAATACGACTGTAAGTCATGCTTTTTCATTGCTTTGGTTAAACAATCAATCAATAATAAGCTCCTACTAATCCAATTCACACTCTGAATGAGCTCATTATTCAGAAAAAAACAGAGCATCCAACAATAAAGGCAGCCCTGTGCATCTTTTATACAGTGATAAAAAACACAGTAGCACACAGAAAGCTCTGGTTCTACTAGCTGAAATTGATAAAACTGTTTTATTGTTGCCAGTGGAGACATGCATGTGGTTTAACTCCCAAAAGTCTGTATCTGACTATATCAGAACAGTGTACTGTGAGATAATTTATCACAATATGAAAAAACATTGTCATATGCCAAACAAGCTAATCAAAATTAACTGTTTAGTTGTTGCTAATGTGTAGTTAGCGTTTGGTTTGCCCTGTTCTCAGACATGGAACACTTTCACATGATGAGACACCCCGCTGTCTGTATGAACAGCTGTTTAAGGACAACACTGAAGCTATTTCAATATAGACACGTGCTTGACCACTCGCATTAGCAAGAGATAAGAAAGGAACAGATAATAAAACAGACTGATGATGATATCAGTGACCAAAGGGACTCATATTAAATGTGTATATTCTAGTAAGTCCTTTTCTTCAACATAAATGTAAGTGAGCTGAAACATTCTCAATAACATGCAAGCCAATATGAAGGCTCCGACCAAGAGTTTCAGTTAACATCATGCTTGGACTTTTTTATAGCTGTTCCCAAGGGCTAAGTGACCTTGAGTTCAACTTTAAAGGCTTCTGGGTCAGGACAGGGTAAGACATTTGTGGGTTTGATACTTTTCTTAAGGTGCTGTGAACCCCAAACATCTCAAAGCTGATATTGTATTGCTGCTTGTACAACAGGTTTACCAAGTAGTCTTTGAGCTGTAGGATGTGTTCCTACAGGATGTATATATATATATATACATATATATATATACATACATATATATATATATATATATATATATATATATAGTAATAATGTAACACGTATTATTTTGTCTGTGCTGTTATGTTTTCCTTTTCTTTCTTATTACAATCAAGCAGCCCCATATTAAACTGTATGAAACTCAGTCATTCCCCATGTGCACCCTGAGTCCACTGAGCATTCCTAGGCAGGCACATGACTTAAGAAAACAAAAAAGAACACAACACAGAACCCAGTGCGGGTGGTGATTATACAGATGCTTAGCGAAGCCTCCAGTAATATGTGGCTCTGGTAACCTTGACAACCAGCCTGACGTAGCCCCTGTAAGCTCCAAAGGCCAGTCTTGCTCAGAACTTCTCATATGAGTGGAGTTCTCGCAGCTCAGTGCTCCTCTGCCTCCTCCTCAGGCCAGATCAGCCATGCATCTCTCTCAAGAGGACGGAAAGGTAGAGATTGTACTGAAGGAGGAAGAAGCCACAGGAACATCATTTGAAGTAAGTGCAGCAGTCATGTCGGACCAAAACTGCACACTCATGCCGCCCTGCATGAGCACGTAAATGCAATTTTTTAATCACTTGCTTGTTGTTTCAGCATCACATGGTTTAGCACATGCTCTGTCCACTGGCTGTTTTCTGTGCTGAAGGTGGATTAAAATTTTGCAGATTTTGGAAGGAATAATTCCCATGATTTTTAAAAAAATGTCTGCATAATTATATTATTATGCAATTATTATTAATTATTATTAATTCAAAATAATTAATGTGAAACAGTACATTGTAGAGAAACTTACCAAGTTAGAATTTTTGACACACTGCAAAAAATGGTATCTTGTCAAATAAAATTATCTTAAATCTAGTCAATGTATCCAATATTTCTCCTGTTGAGATTGTTGTAAGCTTAATTTAAGATTATTTTAAAATTATCTCACTATATTGGCAGATAATTTAGCTTGTTTTAAGAAATGTACCAGTATAATAAGATCATTTTACTTAATAAAATTACTTCAAACAAGTAAAAATGTTTGGAAATAGTGAAATAATCTTATAATAAGTGCACAACCATCTCAAAATAAGACGTATTAGATGTATTGACTAGAATTAAGATAATTTCACTTGACAAGATGCTATTTTTTGCAGTGCAGTGGTGCAAATAGGAACCAGGAGTCCATAACACACACCTCATAGCGATTTTATTGTATCTAAAACAGTCAGTCTCTTCCCAGTGTTGTACAGTATTTAATATTTATAATGGTGAAATAGTGGACCATGCAAAAAATAAAACCATTGGCTTCTATTTTGCCTTGCAACAACCTGCATAGACCACCTCGCCATGAATCTCTTTTTAAATATATACATTTTAAGCCCTGAATTAAAAAGCATCAGGCAGTGCATTTTGTATAACTTTTTGTATTTTGTATAACTTTCTGTGAGGTAACTTTTCTCATTAAATGCCTTGGACGTCTGGTTCCTATCATCACCACTGTGAACATTTCTGGCTCAGTAAGTTTCTCTAGAACAGAGCATTTCACTTCAAACCACTCTGAATGACTTTTTTTTACAACCCTGCTTCCAAAAGGTTTGGGAAGCTTCAGTCGTGTTTTTTCATCTCAAACTTGATTTTTCTCAGATTACATTGAGCATTAAGGAATCTCCTAATTCCATTCAAGAAAATAGGGCTAATTACAATGGATAGGAAGTTTCCCTTCAAGATAACAAGGTCTATTTTCATACTCTGGGGTAAGGTTGCATATAAGTACCAGGACTAAATGCGGCTTTAGGCCCTTTTCGGAACAAATCAAAGAACACATCTCTCACTAGATCCCGGAGGGATTTTTCTTACAAATCACATTACAGTTATTATGCTGCCATTTACTTTATACTGAATCATCATACAGAAGAAGAGTCAGGAGAAGCTATAATTTCTGCTCAGATATGATTTTTTATTCAAAACATGGCAGGAAAAAAACAGGCTAGAATATGTGAGGCATTAGTAAACCTACAAAAGCCTGTACAGGGTTTTGCTCTTCCAAATGTATATTACTAGCTAACATAAAAATGTACATATTAAAATTTAATGTTGTTTTCCCATTAAAAGTCTAATCATCTTTTTACAGAAAACAAAATTTTACAGAAACAAATGTGACAGTCCTTTAGTGAAGTGTCATTTGTCCTCCATATTCATTTGGCCCAGTGTATTTTAATATAGGGACTATTTACAACTTTTAACAGCTTTAAACAGCATTAAAATGTGCAGAAGTGTGTTCTCTCTAGAGGATGTGTTGATTTTTTTCACTTAGAAAACAAACTAAATGTGTGATTTGACCAGGCACACCAAAATTGCCACATGTAATAGGATGCAACCTTTGCTACAAGCCAGTTTGTGAAATTGCCCTGCTAAATCTGCCCTGGTCAACTGTAAGTACTATTATTGTGAAATACTAGTGTCTAGGAGCAACAACAACTCAGCCACAAAGTAGTAGAACACGCAAATTCACAGAGCAAAACTACAGAGTGCCGAAGTGCATAGTACCTAAACATTGACCATCACTCACTACAGAGTTTCAAACCATGTCAAGAAACACCAACACAAGAAATGTGCATGAGGCCAAGATTATTATGCGCAACGCCAAGTGTCAGCTGGAGTGGTGTAAACCACACTGCCATGGGACTCTGGAGCTGTGGAAACATGTTCTCTGTGATGAATCAAACTTCACTATCTGGCAGTCTGATGGACAAATCTAGGTTTGGCAGATGCCAGGAGAACGTTACCTACTGGAACGCTTAGTGCCAACAGTCAAGTTTGGTAGAGGGAGGAAAATGGTGTGGTGGGGTCTGATTTTCAGGGTTTGGACTCAGCCCTTTGGTTGCAATGAAGGGTAACATTAACTGCTACAGCATACAAAGACATTTTAGACAGTCATCTACTTCCAACTGTGCCCTTTCCTGTTCCAGCATGACTGAGCCCCTGTGCACAAAGTGAGCTCCATAAAGATACGGTTTGACGAGTTTGGTGTGGAGGAACTCCAGTGGCCTGCACAGGACCCTGACCTCAACCCCAATAAACACCTTTGGGATGAACTGAAATGTTTATTGAGAGCCAGGCCTTCTCATTCAACATCAGTGCCTGACCTCACAAATGCTCTTTCGATTGAACGGGCAGAAAGTCTCTCAGACACACTCCAAAATCTAGTGGAAAGCCTTCCCAGAAGAGTGGCATTATCCCATAACCATAAATGTAAAGCAGCTGTTATGTTATGCCACCTGTTTCAGATACATTATCACTTTCAAAGCTGCCAGTTATATAATGTAAGTCTGCAATTTTTGTATTAAATGTGTCCATATGACCTAAAGAGTGTTTTAAAAGCACCTCTGAGCACTTCATCCATCTTAGCGTGTCAAGAAAGCTTTGTCTTCAGGGCTGCACATCTGAGGTCAATATGCTAAGGGTAGTGAATGATACTGTGTTGTCAGCAACTGAACAGATTCATCTCATTTAGGTCATTCCAGTTCCATCATGATGAACTTTAAGTGCAAATTTTAGTGGAAGAAAATAACACATAAAATGACTTTTGCACAGGCCTCATTTAATTTGTCAGTTTTATTTTCCACAATATGTTAAATTCAGAAAATAAACAGTAACTGTGTGTTAAAATGTGCAGAAGTGTGTTCTCTGTAGAGGATGTGTTCACTTATTCTCAATTAGAAAATCCAAACATTTAATTTGACACAAACTTTTGTGTACAGCTGTATTTGAGCACTCACTTTTGGATTTAGGAGACATTGTGTCTGATAAATTGTGTTTCCTGCAGTTATGTTATTTTCTTAAAAATTAATGAACTTAAAATTTATACTCAAATATATGAAAAACAAAATTGGAGAAAATTTTGTCAGTAAACCAATCAACATGTTTATATGCACTTGAGTAATCAGATAATGGGGAAACTCCAGGTCTACATGAGTCAGGCAGTAATAGGATTTCTGCTCTGTAACCAGCCAATAAACACACAGAAGACGTGACATAAATGTAATGTAAAACTCAAACTCTATGCTGTGGCTTTTTTATTTAAACATTGTGCCACTTTACCTGAAAATATGAACATACATCATCTAGCATATGAAGAACATTTAAATCCTTCATTTTGTCAAGAATGTAGTTGGTTTTAGTGCCACTCCAAAAGTGTTTTGCTGCATCTCGCAGCAATGCTGCTGCCTTATTTTTCCGTTTTGTGGTCTGTTTTCCCACATGAGCAGACGGACTCTGAAAGAAATCAGAGTAAGAGTACACATGTACTGAGAAATCTGATTACTGAGCTAAAATCCAGCTCTCTTTATCGGATTTCTTAATCACATTTCTAGACTATACTCTAATCTAAGAAATCAGAGTATGCTGTTAACATGACCATTTGAACAATATGATAACTGCAGAAATCTGATTACGATCGGATTATTGAGTGCATGTAAACTCACTCTATGTCTCATCATGCATCATGTTATTCTTTTGGTCATATAACCCAGTCTTAAACTGATACATTCCTTAAGATGATACTTATATTTTACTCCTTGATTGTGCCAATCTTATTAAACTACCTCAGATAGTCCACTGGTGCTCTTACACTGGGTATTAGCACTATGCTAAGCTTACCTGGCTCAATAAAGTCATTAGGTGAGTGGAATTCATCTAGCAAATGCGCAAATGCAAACTGAAATCAGCTCCTCTGGGCTGTGCTGGAACATAATCAGCAGTGAAGTCAAGGAGGAATCTCTCCTACAGCTGGGAATTTCTTTTCCCCATTTAAACCGCTCTCTAAAGTTTATATATGAGCGTCCATAAACTAACTGTTTTAAAGGTATAGGGGGTAGGATGTCAGTTAAAGTAACTCCAGGAGATCATAATAAATTGGTTCCAACCATTTAAAAAGCTACCGGCCAACATTTGTCCTGAGTTGTTTTGCGCAGAGCTTTTTATGGCCCTGCCTAAGGTCCACTTTTTGCTTCAACCATTAAAATATTAGAAAAATAAAAGTCATAAACTCCAGTTGTGGTCGAAACATCACCTGTAGGCCATTTCTAGCACATGGACACCTGGACAATCACAACAACAGGATCTTGGACTTGACCAGCTGTAGTGCTTTTCTCTATGACGACTGGAGTTTTAGAATAACAAATATCAGCTGAATGAGGGGAATCCCACTGGGTATTGGACAGAGCTGTGGTGTCCTGGTCCAGCCTGCTGCTGTGTGTTCTCTGGGCACAGTCATCTGGGAACACGACAAAGGCCTGGAGCTGAGAGGATTTATAGACTTGTTCTCAATTAGTCAAGCTCCAGCTGGGCTTTCAGTGCAGAGTCGGGTCTTCAGTGCAGAGTCAGGCCCTCAGTAGAGAATCAAGCCTTCAGTGCAGAGTCAGACCCTCAGTACAGAATCAAGCCTTCAGTACAGAGTCAAGCCTTCAGTGCAGAGTCAGACCCTCAGTACAGAATTGAGCCTTCAGTGCAGAGTCGGGCCCTCCGTGCAGAGTCGGGCCCTCAGTGCAGAGTCGGGCCCTCAGTATAGAAACAAGCCTTCAGGACAGTCAGGCCCTCAGTACAGAATTGAGTCTCCAGTACAGATTCAGGCCTTCAGTGCAGAGTTGGGCCTTCAGTGCAGAGTCAGGCCTTCAGTGCAGAGTTAAGCCTTTAGTATAGAGTCAGGTCCTCAATACAAAGTCAACAAAGTTAAGCCTTAAGTATCAAGTTGGATTCAAGACTCAAGATTCAAGACTTCAGTGCAGAATTAAGCCTTCAGTGCAAAGTTGGACCATCAGTACGGAGTGAAAGCCAGACTGTACACTATTAGTTTGACTCTGTACTGAAGGCCTGACTTTGCACTGAAGGTTTGAGTCAAACTTTCAGGGCAAACTAGCCTCTGCAGCAGTGGCTATGATAGCAGTCAGGATTTCTTTATCACTGGGGGAAGGTTCCCAGTGTTCGCATGATGTTTTTGTGTAATGTATGCTGAGTACTGTAGTGCAAGAACATTGATGGACGAAATTAAAAAATGGATATGAAAACATGATGCGGCTGAGGGATGCAATGCTGCAGTATTACTATCATGTAACCCGACAAATAACACATTGGTGCTAGTTTTCGGCATGCCTCTTTAAAATTAATCAGTGAAACAAACTGAACCGCTTTTTCCATTTTTTTATTATAATTTTTAAAATCATGCTCAATTGAACCATGTAATTTTACACAATGTTCAAACTCTTTCTTTAACTGTTCAGCTCCTCTAACATGCAGGGAACATGCACTAGAATTGTGGAATCCTTTCTAGATGTACATCTTCACTTTTTACCAGCAGGTGGCAGTACATCCTAAGTAGCCCTTTATTTGCGCAATGAATGATGTGTTGAAGATGTCAGGCCATGCACATGTGTGGATGAGTGTGTAGGAGTGCAGAGCATTAGGTTTGAATTATTATTCCAAAACGAAAATGTTTCATTACTTCTTTCTACGGGCCAGTAAGCACAAAAGAATGAACAAGTTTAAAAGTGCAGAACGGCTCCTCAAAAAGGGGCCTTCCACTTCAGGCCCCATAAATCACAAACTAGCAAGAGGACTGTAATCATGTCCTCATCTCTTGTCAGTCATTCTCAAAAGAGACTCGTTCTATTGAGTTTGGGGAAAAAGAGAACATGCACAGAGGACACTCTCTTAAACGCTGTCCTCAGGGACTTGTACTTTCATGCCTGACCTCTCTGTATTAAAATGAGTCACCAGTTTCCTGATAGACTATCCTGTTTTCCCAGTGAGCAATGCTGGCCTAGTTTAACATCATAGCAGTTTATTCACTGAATTAGCGCCGTTTAAAGCCCTCATTTTTACCAACAGTGGACCTTTGGGAAAAGTGGCAACCCATTGGTCATGCGTGGTGAAGACACAGGTGACTCAGAAACAAACAAAGAGGCCTGAATCAAAAGAGAAAGAAAAGAAACACTTGGGACAAGAAAGCAGTTTGTGACAAATAAGATAAGGAGGAAACGACTCATTGACTCTAAAACCCAGCATTGTTGGTTTTGGCGCATGACTGCAAAATGTGGCAACATGTTTTTGATGATTTTTGCAATCATAACTTTTCCCATGTTCTTGAAAAGTGCGACCGTTGCATTGAAAAGCTGAATTTATTTAGTCAATTTGCCAAAACCTAGCTTATGTTTAAATATCTCATCCTATTTTTGGTCATTTAAATGTCACATTTAATCATTTTCCCACAGACTTCAGGAAACAGCCACCAGCCAGACCACATGGTCATAACAGAACCAAGGAGTGACAGCTTAGACGAGAGCCTTGACCACAGGCCTGGGAATACCCTTATCTACTCCATCAATGACCGTCCACCTTGGTACCTCTGTGTTCTCCTCGGCTTCCAGGTAGGGAAAGTATCGTTTTTAGCTTTCCAGTGAGGTCAACCTACCCTGTACCTACACACATTGGACATTTTATAAGAAACACCTATCATATACAGCACTGTGCAAAAGACCACCTTCATTTTCAGCATCAGGAAAAACAGGATTTACACAGAAGCCTCAACAACTAAACTTAATGTAATTTTTTTCAGTATCTAGTGTGTCCACTCTTTGCCCTTATCACAGCTTCCACTCTTCCACAGCTTCCAGTCTTTGTTCTGGAGTGGTCAGTCCATCGCTTTTCGCTTCGTTTGATTTGAAAATGTCTATTTCCTTTTCTCAAAGATGAAAGCTTTAAGTGCTGTTTATCTGATGGAGACAGTTTTGCTGGTCTACAAGTTTCAGCATGGTTGTCAGGGAGTCTTATTTTCTCTGTATCTTTAATCATTTTTTGAACTTTAGTTTTAAAAACTCCAGTTTTTCATGTATTTTCCTTTTGCTTTTCCCTTCCTCATGTAAGAGGATTGTTTTATATGTAGTATATGTTATATCTCCTCAGAAATATCCCCTGAAAAATGAATAACTTGTACTTAATGGACATTTTGACTGGAAATTATGGGTGGTCTCTGACTTTTGCATAGTACTGTAGGTACTATGTTGCACTTACTGACTGTCCTCCATTTGTTGTTGCACAGTTTATGAGCCCTTCTCATACTGCATGCCTACAAATGCGTCCAGTGTCCTGGATTTTGTTAGCCCAGCAGTTAATGTAACTATTGAAGAGTGAAATATTTGGGTTTGATAAAATGAAAAACGCATGTAGTTACAAGGTAAGTGTACCTCATAAACCTGACCTTCTCTCAAGAAGTCCATTTCTCCGCCTCTCCCCCTCCCTTAAACTTATTTCCATGCCTGATCCAGCACACCTGATCCAGTTAGTCTAAATCTCAGAAGCATCTGAATACTTGTGCAAGGTGTGTTAGATTATGGTTGGAATGAATGGGAGGGTTGCCTTCCAAGAATGTGGTAGGAGATGTTCGCTCCATAATCTCTCGACGAACTACTGCAGTGGCTTGGGCAGCTGGATTGCTGCTCCCGTAGCTGGAGCAGATCAAAGAGAAGAATGTCTCAAAGAGAAGAATGTCTTAAAGAGAAGAATGTTCTCAAGAGAGCTCTGGAGCCTCAAACTGCAGTGCAGTTCATGACGGACTGGTAGGAGGTTAGTGCAGAATTGCAACCTGAGTGACGCTTAGACCACCCTGTGTCTTGCCTTAACTGCGAAACCTGTTTGTCATCCTTCAAGTCTAAAGACAGAGTAACTGCAGTGTATTTCAGTAGTACGGTTGTATGTAAAAGTTTGGGCACTCTAGTCAAATTCCATGTTTTGTTGATTTTTTAACCTGTAGGCCAGAAAGATATAACCTAAAATACAGCAGTGAGTATCGTGTTTTGTGGCTCTGCAACAAAAACAAAAAACAGACAGAATGTCTCCAGGTGGCGAAGATTTCTCTTGCTTCTCACAAAATGGACAAACTGGCACTGAGCAGCCTTCTGTCCAAATTGGAAAAGTAAAAGGAGCACGTAGCGCTTCACCACCTCATTCAGAAAGTGGAACTTTATGAGAGTCTTCTGATACAGCTCGCTCTGTAACTCAGTTTGAGCTGCTTTTAGAACTAACAGCATCCGCGAGGAAGCAGAAGGCAAACAAATTTTTTCTAAGGTTCGTCAAAAAGTTCTGGTTGCTGGGACACAGCTGCTCCGTCAGCTTGGCTGTCATCATTGCCAACAGCACACTGTAAAAAAAATTCCGTAAAAAAAACAGCGAAATGTCTGGCAGCTGTGGTTTCCAGCAGATCACCGTTAAACTACTGTGATCAACTGCCCATATTAATACATTAAAAGCACATACAAATGTAGTACATATCAGTATTCTCGGGCATATATTGCTGGTATATTTACATATAAATTAATAAATAAATAGTAAAATAAATAGTAAAATAAGATAATGTAACAATAAGTAAAGTGAACATTTTAAAGAGAGGTGACCATGATCGGTCAGTGAATTTTTGTCGCTGGTAAAAGTTCACAAAAATCTAACAGAGCGAAAATAAAATATCGTTGCATTTTCGTCATTCTGAAAATCACATTTGGTATGCAAGATATCATCAGTTATACACATGCTTGGTTTAATTTACCAAAAAACTGCCCGAATTAAGCATTTGAAGGCCTTCAGCTTCAGGTGTCTGAGAACTGAAAACAAGCAACTACCTTGCTGTGCTGTATGTTCAGAGGTCTATTCAAATGAAGCTTTCAGGGCAAATAAATTACACCGTCAACTGGAAGCTTAACATAGCAAATACACATCTAAACCTTTTGAACTGAACAGCACCTAACTGCCTAACAGCATCAGCTTAGGTGAGCTATTTTTTTTTTTTGAGTAATAATATAAAATCAAGAAAAACTGACAGGCTACACTGATTATGATATCATATTTGTTTGCATTTTAAATAATCTGGTTGGTAAAATTTTGTGGGCTACAGAAGATTTTGCGGTTGTTTGTGTGGGCCATGAGTTAGTAAAGGTTGGGAACCTCTGTTCTTAATGAAAATAGGTATGCATCCTCTACAGAGAACACACCTCTGCTCATATTAATGCACAACTACTGTTTATTTGTTGAATTTAACATACTTGGAAAAAAACAACACAAAATGAGGCCTGTGCAAAAGTTATGGCACATTTTCTATGTTTTATGTTTTTTTCCAATACGTTAAACTCAGCAAATAAATAGAAATTGTGCGCTACAATTAACAGAAAGGGTCTGGTAAACTACACAGAGGTTCTTGAGAATAAGGATGTTTTGCTTCACTAGCTGTGTAAGTAAAGAACTTCTGAAGCTGTAGGAGGTGAACCTGTCCTGTTTATGTATTCTAGAGTACTAGAATACTTCTAACTTTCACTTGTAAGAATTATAAATTTCAGGTTGGGGACACGTGAAGGCGTTTTAAGTTGGGGGTGCTGAAATTTTAAGCAGTATAGGCTGTATATGACAAATACAGTGATGTCATGTAAAACTATATACGCCAGTTTTTCTTTTTTTTGTTTTCATATTTTTCTGTTTCTTCATCTCATAATGTGCTACTATCATGTGGCAAGAGGTGAATCACTCTTTTCTGCACTGACTTTATGCAAATAAGTTGAGCAGCAACCAATGTGATGTCATCAGGCACAGTAATGTCACAGTCTTTGTCAACATGCTGCACATGAAGATATAGGCTAATGCTTGAAAAAACAACTAATATATTGAGAAAGTGGGATATTATTGATCTTTTTTACATTAAAAAAGATATTAGGCCTCTACAGTGCTCAGTAAAAGGCCCTGCACATATTTTACACACCCACAAAGCAAACGACTAGAAAGGGAATTGAGTCAGCTTGCCATAATGAAAATTGAACTTTTATGTTCAACAGCAGGCTTTGAAAACAAATCAATAAAGCATAAAATAAAAAAAAAATTATAAGTTCCTTTTTTATATTCATTTTTAACAATTAAACACTTAAACAATGCAGCCCATCCAATATCTTTGAGATAAGCTGGAGTGATCCAGAACTAAACATCCAACATCAGTACCTGATCTCACTAATGCTCTTGTTTCTGCGATCCTCACAGCAATGTTCCAACATCTAGCGTAAAGTCTTTCCAGAAGGGTAGAGGCTGTTACTGCAGCAAACTGGGAACAAACTCCCTATTAAGAGCCTCAGGGGGTTGGACGAGCAGGTGTCTACAAACCTTTGGACATAATAATAATTAGTGTCACTTCTCTACAAAAGGATTAAGTCTAGTCCTCAATCCAAAATAGGCATTATGTACAGGTGTTTTTCAGCAGGTCATTTCTGAGGAGATAGACAATGGACTGGCCACCCCAGAGTCCTCAACATCACTGAGTATGTTAGGGATCTCTTGGATCATGATAAAATGCAACCAACTTATAAAACTGAACTTTGTAGGTGTGGAAAAAAAATATCCCTGCAGATTTCTTTGAAAAACTGAAAGCATGTGAAAGCAAAGCGTGGTAAATATTGAAACAAATGATGTTATTAATAAGTTTAGGAGTCTTCTGTGTAATTTTCTGTTATGTTTTCTGCTTTTTTCCCCAACACTGAAAACTGAACTTGTGCTTAATGTTCATTTCGACAGGAAATTAAACAATAGAAGGATCTCTGACTTTTGCACAGTACTGCATATTTCACCTTATAAAACACGCCGGCAATATATATTGTCAAACTACATCCACCCTGTCGCATTACGAAAGTGATTTTTGACAGGCTAAGCTCTAAGAAGAGCTTGGAAAGAGAAACACAGCCTACTTCTGTATAAACGCAGTTTTGGAACAAGACACATGTAAACACAAGATTTATTGACTGATTTTAGGACGCATTCTAGACAGAAATGAAGGCAGCATGGATTTGAGTTAATAAATCCACAAAAACAATAGAAACATCAACATCTGATGTTCCAGCTTACATACTGTTCAGACCAAATACTCCAGCTTTAGTTGTTTTGTTGAGTGCAATTGCTCTATATACTTCTGGAAATGAGGGTAATCTTCCCAGCATGAAGCTCGCTTCATGTGACCAGTGTAATGAATCAATCGCTTAATATAAACACATGCAATCATGGGACAAGTTGTGGCTTGAATTAAGTATGATTGTTTCGGTCTGGTACTGCATAGTTCACATAATAGTGTGCAACAAAATGAATTCAGTATGATGAAAACATACTGTGAGTAATTGTCAGACACTATGAGCTCTTAGCAGTGGGCACTTTAAGTAAGCATAACAGCCGATAGGCGGTGAATTCGGACTAGACTATTAATCACTACACAGCAAGGCTCATTTAGAAAATTGCACATTTATTGAACTTTTGCCAATGGAGCTCATTTGAGCCCATGATTAGCATGACCTGCTTACCCAGGGGTCTCAACGTCACAGATCTGAATCCTTAGTAAGAGAAGATGAAGTGGTTA